ATGATTAAAATGAAACACCACTAATATATAGATATATATGTATATAGTGGTGTTTCCTTCTAATCACAAAAAAATGTGAATTTTGGGTTACTTTTTTATATTGGATTTTTTATCAGAGAAAACCAGGATCCCTGGTCATCGCCTTAACGCAAGCTCCAGGCCTACAGGTGCAACGCTGCCTCTCCTGTCATGTCAGGGGACCATGAGATAAATCATTGCTGAGGACTGCACACCTGATGCAGCTCCCATCAGTGATGTGGTATAATGTCAAAAAAAAAATGCAGGTCACAGCTGCTATCGTGCTTACACCACCCACAAATATGCCAGGGAGCTGGTGTGAGACACGAGAGCAGAACTGAGCCTGGGGGGCCTTTACACTTCACTCTTTTCAGTGACAGGGAGGCAGAGCTGTGTGAGATTTCCAGCACAGTCATATTTAACAAGCTTGAAATTCTTGCTGCTGGCGAACAGAGAGGGCTGTGATTCCCGTTCACTGCCCTCCTCTCAGGCCTTGCTTTACTGCAGTAACACGTTCCCATATTACCTTTGCAGACTTGGCAGCAGGAGTCTGGCACAGTGAGGGGAGAGGAGCACAGCAGTTCAGGGCACGTCACCAAGCCGCAGTAAATCTGGCCTTCCTAGCAAGCACAAAAAGAGAGAAAGCCTTTTTTGTCACTGTTCTCCAATAGCCAGGGGCTGAACTGTAGCACTGTAACTTTGCAGCAGACTCTCTTCACTTGATTTCTTATTGGGATGGCACAACAGGACCCCCAGTTTGCTGTAGCAAGGATGGCAGCTCTTGCATAATTTGCAGCAGTGATCGGCCTGTCTCAACGCCGCCCATCACAGATCCCGAAGCAGCCTTCCCCTCTTGATCAAGGCTAACTGCTAAGTATAAAGCTCGCCTGACGGGCCAGGTCCTTATTGGCTGTAAATCAAATGCACCCTCTTGACTTCAGGAGAGCTAGTCTGCTTGACAGGGGTTAAAGAGGAGGCTCAGCATCCCCTGCTGTCCATTAGGATGAGAAACAGTGGCCAGACCATGTGGATCAGAGTCAAGCAATGCCATGCTGTGCATCACATGCTCGGACAGGCAGGGGTAAAGCCCTGCCCAGCCTGAGGCTGTAAGCGGTCCGGGGGGGACTGTGCTGATATTCTCCGATCCATGTACTGCACCTAGCGCAACCATCACATCAATGCTAACCGCCATCACCATCATGGCTATCACGAGGTTTCACCCGAAACCTTTCCAGGGGGCTTCTAGCACAGGTTGGTTGAGAGGTGTGTTCAGGTTGTGGGTCTGTGAGCTCTGCTAGGAAAAGTCCTTTACAGACTACGGAGGGAAGAAATTATTTTGATTAATCGTGTGCTCAGAGGAAATTAAGTTCTGACTAGCAAAACCATGCCAGGATCCTGCTAAGGACCAGGATGGCTCACGCTCCAGCTCCATTCGCTGCAAAGGCAGAGCTATGAATGTGAGCCCGGAGCTGGCTCCAGATTTCGTGACTCTGCCCTCTACCAAGTCAATCCTAATCCCCCAGAACCAAGCCCCTCCAGCAGTTCAGTTCATAATTTGAAGCCAGAGATGCATTTTGTGGTTTCGGCACACCCCTGTTGATTACCGGTTGGGAAAAGGCCTGGAAAATGCCAGAGTTGTGCAAATTAAATCTGAAAAATAATAGATGCCATTCTACCATGGTAGTGAACACGGTAGAAGCCAACACAGCTTCACTGCAGCTGATGGATTTGCATGTGCTTACCCCAGGATGGGCTTTGGCCCATTAAGTAAAACTACTTCCAGAAGGAAAGTTATGCGCTGCAGCCCATGTCTCATCCAGAGCTCAGACATCAGTGCTGAATGGCACCTTCTCCCCCTTGCAAGCACCAGGGTTATTTTTCATTACATCTGTAATGTCTCCTTCAAGGGTAGCCTGAAGAGATGACCTATGAATATCTCTAGTTAAGGGAAGTCCACAAGATATTTCAGCAACCTCAGCTTACAGCAGACCAGACTAAGCAAGAGCACGTTTGCGATCCTTTTATTTTCTTCTTAGCATCCGAGACATCATTCCCCTGAATAAACAGAGAACCGGAGACGAAGGAAAGCAAATTCATGGAGGTCAGTGGCTCCCCATCTCGTTAGACTCAAGACATCCCTTGGAAACTGCCAGCTCTCAGCTTCCACTTGCTTTATGACTATGGAAAAATACTACAGCAAATCTCCTGTTGCAAAGATCTCAAAAAGATCCAAGGGGGCAGAATGCTTTTGAGACTATGTATTCCTGTTTGAAATCTCTGGGTTTATCTTGTGAATTCATACCAGGGCAAAAATTGGCCAGCACCCCACAGCACCCTTGACAGGATTCGGCCGCACCCTATGTAACAATCACCAGCATCGACAAATGAGGATAGGAAGGAAACAGATCTTGCGATGAAATGGTGCTTCATGGAGCCAGTCGAGAGCCCCACGGTGACTGCTGCTCTAGCTCCAGGCATGTAAATCCAGACTTATCACTGCTGCCTTCAATGCACAGAGAGTGGAATTTGGTTCCTGTTTCTTTCAGGTCATGGCTGAGACTGTCAGGTCACCACTAAGAGCAGTGGATGTAAATGCCTCCAGTGGACGAAAGGCAAATGTCATAAATAACAGAGCCGACGCCAAAGGCCGTGGGCTCGCTGCAGTTTTCAAAGAGGATAGTCAGCCCAGATGTTCGTGCAGCTGTTTCGGCAGCTGGCAGCATCAGACACGAGCAATCAAAAACTGATTGGTGCACGTCTTCATTGTGACCCTTATATTTTCCTCTTAGTAGCCAAGACATAGTCCCGCCGAATGAACAGGGAACCAGAGGGGAAGGAAAGCAATCTGACACATCTAATGAGAGTGGATGATGCGGGTCCTTGACCGGCCATGTCTCATAAAGCAGATGAACTTAAGCCAGACACTGGAGGTGCCCAAGTATGGACAGAAGTATCCTTCCCATTGTGGAAATATATCATACACAAAAACCTGCAAATCCATATGTCCACCCATATGCAGTCTCTGGGTCTGGTTCTACCCCACCATTATAGGTGTCATTAGCAGCATGCTTGTGTCAAATGGGTATAGTTGGGAGGACTGGTGCTCATGCCTATCTAATGTTTCTCTCTCGGCTGCCCCATGCTCCTGTCTATCTCTGAGTCTGGCTCTGCGTGTCATATTTGGCCATCCTTCCTCATGGTGAGGCCATTACAGCATAAGGCACCTTACAAAGAACCACGGTTCTGGCCCACTTGATGCAAATATAATTGATGGTGTATGGTAGGGCATCGGGTCCTGACGTGGCTTTCAGATGATGTTTGGAGTGACTTTGTAAGAGGTGATGAAAGTGGTTAACACAGCCAGACTGAAGCATCTGTTCTTTACCTAAAGGGAACAACAACGGAGGCAACCCCGGTGCCAACACCAACACCACTCGGCATGCCAGGGCCACCTCTTGCAACGAAAGTAGTTTGCTTTCCATGGCTCGCTGGCTCCTTGGCTTCTCTCCTGAGGTTTTCAACAAGGGAAGTACTGTCCACTGCGATGAGGACACTTGACCATTAGGAACTGGTCAGAGACCAAAACTTCATTCCACATGGACCTTCCAAGAGTCTGCAGGTACTAATGACAGCTGGACACTTTGCTGTGAGACTTGATCTGAAACAGCCGTGCAGAGTTGACTGGCTCCAGATCCCATCCCCCTGACCTTAGCTGTCTGCTCTCCCTCAGTATCTTCATACAATACCTGGAATGAAGCAATCTCTGTACAAAACTCGTGTTTTTATGGCCCCGGGACATGCAGAGCATTGGAAAGTTACCATATGGCTTCCAAGCTTAGAGTGGTCATTGCTCTTAGTTTTATGCTCTCCTCTTTCCCATTACTCCTGGAGTAGAAGAGGACACTCAATCTATCCTCAGACACTCAGGCCTGGAGTCATCCTGCATCAGACATCCATCTTTGGCCCACACAATGGATAAGCTGTGTTCCTGCCAGCGTAGTAAAGAGTTTGAAAAGTAAACAGGAGTTGGGACATGTTTTCAACAGGCTGTTAATGCGATCCAATTGTGCAGGCAGGGTAAAATGCAGATGCAGAAGGCTGACAGATCTAAGCCAGGCCTATGCCTGAGCCTGTTGCTGGATCTGCAGGCTTTCTGAGAAGAGAGACATTTATTAAATGCCCACTGGCAGTGCTGGCAAACGAGACAAGATATGCCCCTGCTAGTGATCTGCTTAGGCCTTGGAGATGATAGAAAGACTGCACACGGTACCTCGGCCTACTTCTGATCACAGCTGTGAATGCTTTCTAATGACAGAGGATCCTGCAACCCAGGAGTGTTAGACACATGGCGCACGGGCCACATAATGGCCCACAGAGGTGGGCTGCCAGGCCTGTGGCGCTCTTCTAAGTGTGTCAGCAGGCCAGCACCCCCACCCACCCTTTGCCTGCCACTGAATTTCTGGTTTCGTGTTGCTATTCAGCATACAGATCAGGAGCACGTGGATGAGCAATGGCAGCCCTGTGTGTTGTACATCCAACCAGCAGCTCTGGCAGCTGTGGCGAGAAGCTCTGTGAGCCCGATACAGAAGTGGGTTGTCCAGCCCATGAGAAGCCCCTGGTCTAGATGTGACCCACCAACTCATTTGAATTTGATCTCCCTGGTATACACCTACAATCTCGGGGCTGCTGACTGAGGAATAGTGTAGGAGCTTCCTACAAAACACAGGAACTGGAAGGGACCGCCTGGTTCATCAAGTCCTGTCCCCTGCTGTTGCAGGCGCCGTGTCACATTAATGACCTTTTACAGAAGCAAGGCATCGGCTGCTGTGGTCCCCCTGCCTTACCTGTGGCAG